AGGTCTTGAGAATATCTGTGCCCTTATACTGTGATACACGAAATAAAATCAGAGAGGATAACATCAAAGCAGGCCAGGTATATCCTAAAATCACAAGCTTTCTCTTAGTTTTAGGGGATCCAAATTCCTTATGGGAGAAGGTTTAGTGGTTGCTGTTGCTGAAGTAACTTACTCTATCAGGTGGTTACTGGGAAAGGCTGGATGATTCTCCCCTTCTGTTTAGAGCCCTGGCGTTTCCTCACCCCTGTATTGTGGCCAGTCAAGTTTCTAGGATGCAGCCAACTAGATGGAAGAGCAGCAGAGTGTGACCCCGCAGGAATGGCCTTGCCACCACGAGGAAGCCCAGCTAGAGAATGTGCCCTGCTATGAGTCACCAGCAGCAGGGCACATGCAACTGACAAGTGCAGGGGACAGGGAATTACATACCTACACCCCGGAATGGAGACATGTATTACCAGGCCCTTCAAGACCAAAAAGATCCCATCCCAACATGTTGATCATTTTTTTGAAATGCACAAAACACATAGTAAGACAAGAAATTTCCCATTGTCATTACCAAAGTAAAAACTCAAACTCAAGCCTATAATTCTTTCCCGGCACCCCTTGGAATACTTCACGTCTGGCATCTGTAGCCAGTGTGGGCGGGAGTCATGATTGGTATGACCTTTCTGGAGGGGCATTTATTTGGAAGATGCATCAGACATCTTAGCCTGGAAATTTTTTTCCCAGTGATTTATTCAAGGCAAATTATCAAATGAATGCACTTTGTTTGCAAAAGTAACCAACTGGAAACAACCTAAACATCCATGTGATGGTTCATTTAATGTGTCAGCTTGACTGGGCTGAAGGATGCCCAGATTAAACATTATTTCTTGGTGTGTCTGTGAGGGCGCTTCTGGATGCGATTGGCATTTGAATGAGCGGAATCATCCATCCAATCCGTTGAGGGCCCGAATGAAACAAAAAATCAGAGGCAGGAGGAGTGTGCTCCTGTTTTGTTTTTTTTTTTACCTGCCTCACAAACTGCTTCAGCTGAGATGTCTCATCTCATCCTCCACCTTCAGACTGGGACTTGTGTCACTAGCTCCTCTCGTCCTCAGGCCTTTGGACTCCGGCTGAAGAAATACACCACTGACCTTCCCGGGTCTCCAGACAGTAGACTGTGGGGTCTCTCAGTCTCCATAACCATGTGAGACAATTCTTCATTTTTTATATATATATATGTGCCATATATTAAAAAAAAAAAAAAAAATATATATATATATATATATAATTTCCTATTGGTTCTATTTTTCTGGAAAACTGTAATACTATCCATAAATCTAGGATGGATTAAATACATTAGGTATGTATTGCAAGGTCCAATCTATGTGAATATTTATACATACACCAAAAGGCTAATGTTTTTAATAATTTTTTAACAGTTTCCTGTTTTTATGAATTTTCCCAATAAGCAAATAATTGGGGGTGGGAGGGAGTTGTTCTTATTTTGAAAACAAAACAAAATACCTCCTTCTCTAGCTTTATCCTGCTCTTCAGAATATCCAGTATTCCTTTTTTCACAGGCAAACTTGTTCAAATGTCTGAGGGTTAGGTGTTAATCTTCTTAACTAGTTTATTTTTCAGCCTTTTTCTGGAGGAAATTTCAAAGATATGCAAAAGTAGAAAAAAATGGGACTATAAATGCCCATGAGCCTTATTCATGGCCAGTCTTGTTTCAGCAGCTCCCCTGCCTTCCACCTCTCCCTGCACAGGACCATTCTGAAGCAAATCTCAGACATCCATCCACAAATGTTTCATTATATCACCTCTAAAACATAAGTATGCTTTTGGAAATATAACAATGCTATCATTATCATACCTAGAAATTTAACAGTAATGCCACAATATCATGAAATATCCAGTGATAAATTTCCCTAGGGCCATGTCTTACAAATGCATTACCCCTGGGTGGGTTACCTAATCTCTTACATACTTACTTTCTTCATTTTTAAAATGGGGAGAGCTGGTTGGTTAACCAACTCAGTTGGGTAGAGCACCTCCTTGAAAGACCAAGGTCAAGGTTCAGAACCCCATACTGGCCAGCCACCAAAAAAACAAACAAGTAAAATGGAGAGAACATAGGATAATCGAAAAGTATTAATGAGATAATATACTTAAGGAGCTTGGCATAGAGCCTGGCATGTTGTAAATGCCCTTAACTAGCAGAATCGGATCATTTGTGACGTTACAGATTTTTTCATTCATTAGGTATTTGTATGAAGTAGCCTTTATTTTGTCGATGTCCTGTTCATATTTTTTGACCCTTTTCCTAGTGGGCAGTAAGGACAGCAGCCTTTGTCTTTCGTATTGATTCGCTGCATTCCCAATTCGTTCTATGCTTTTTCATTTTACTTATGATTACATTAAAATGTGTCAGTCCTCCCTTCTCTTTGTTATGACCCAATCTAATACACATCTATGTTTTCTAGAGTTTTGTGGTTTCATTTTTAAAACTTAGTTCATATAAACTTTGAGTTACTCATTAAATGAGCCCTATAATCTATTCTTTCATTTAAAAAGCAAAAATATAATCATTCCCTAAATTCATGAGCTTATATATTTTATAGGATCATGTTTGTTTTTGAGGTAGAACCATTTGATAAATTAACTTGGTTACATAAGGTAACCTAGGACTTACCATATTCACAGTAGTGACAATAACTGATTTTTGTGTAGGGCTCAAACTACTTTTCTCACATGCATTTAATCCTTACAAAGAAGCTGTCAAGGAAGTATTATCCCACTTGGCTTCTGGACATGAAACACTGTGGCCCACAGAGGTCAGACACCTTGAACCCAGGTTCTCCGACTGCAAAGCCTCCCCTGACTCTGCCATGCTTCCCCTTCCTCACCTGCAAAGTGGAAATCCTCAGAGCACCTGCCTCACGGAGCTGATAACGCATTCATGTGCGCAAAGCATGGAGAAGAATATCTGAAATGTTGTGAGTGCTGCTAAATGTTACCTATCACCCTCATTACCATTAATGCAGTAATAAGTGCAAAATAATAATTATAGTAAAAGTAGTGGTATAGGAAATGCAATAATAATTATCATTATTACAATATGTTCATTGAAGTATTGCTAGGTGCCAATAAGCATTTTGCCTGCAAGTTATCCTCCAGTGTAGGTACTTCTATTATCCTCTTTTTGTGGGTGAAGAAACTGAGGCACAGAATTTGTGACTTGCCTGCGGGGTTGAGAAGCGAACCGGTTAGCTAGCGTGCTCTATTAGCAAGTGGTGGAGTTGTGACTGGAGTCCAGGCAGTCTGACTCCAGGGCCACCTTTCTGGGGTCACTATGACTAGAGTGCGCTCGTGTGTGTACATAGTGAGTAGGCCTGCTGGTCCCACGCGTGACTGTTGGACAGACGGCTGCAGTCTCGGAAGCCCACGAGTTAGGAACACAGTGACAGAAACTGGCACTGTCTCAGCCTCCTCCACAGGCTAAGAAGAAGAAACATACTCTTGGCCTGAAGTTGGAGACCCTGAGAAGCTGCTGTGTGTCCCCCTGCACGCCCGGCCACCTGCCATCTGTCGGGCTGCCTGGCTCTGTGAGCATTTCCTCAGTTGCCACCTGGGGGCACCACGGCGCCGCGGGAGGCTGGAGTCGTTGCATTTTGCCAGGCTAAGACGGGAACTTCAGTTTCTCTGGTGTCTCTAGGGAGGAAATGCTTTCCTCTTTCTCCAGGCTCTTCTCCCACAAGGCTGCTTTCTTCTCTCGATGGATGTCATCCTTTTACGCAGGCAGGAAGCTGTGTTCATTTAAATCTTTGCTGTCGGCAAGGTTTCTACTACCCTGTGGTCACTTAAAACACAAACAAAGCTAATTGACCTGGAAGTTAGATAATTAAAAGAACAGCCTAATAAGTTCTTGATAAGCCTTGTTGATTAGAGAAAGGAAAATATTGGGATTGACTAGTGAGCAGGCTTCCTGGGAGGCTGAGTTTTTCAAACTGCATTGAGACACATAAATTGGTCGTTAAAACGAGTTGTTGGGCTCTGACCGGCATTTGAAAAGTTGAACTTTTTCATTCTGTGGGTGTGCGCATGTATACTGAGTTGCAAAGTAAAATCTATTTCTTCCTGTACTTTGCAGTCAAAGAGTTATGAAAGCCACTGGTAGTGGGTGCCAGCATTTCAGCTAACACCTGGGAGTCCAACGTCTCCACTCCTGCCTCTGTCCATGCGTCGTGTGGTCTGGGACACGGGAGAGAACGAAAACCTGCACACACTGGGTGATGTGTTGAAAAATCATCTACCCTCTGCCAAGCCTCCCCCCTTAGACATGTTTCTGTTTTCCAGAAAGATGCTCACTAGAGTGGTGGTGGTGGCTGGGGGCGGGAAGTAAATCTTGACAACAACAAAGAGAAGACAGAATTAGGGGGACAGGTGGGGTCAGAAGAGCTGTGGGGACCACAACACTCACCAGGTCCCCAGGTCCCACAGGCTAAAGGTAAGGTACAACAATAAATCCAGCAAAATGGTACATGTCAGTGACTCAGACCGAGAAAAATACATCCAGTGAGTTAGTAAAAAAAACTATGACTTTACCCCCACGTTTTTCTGTAACTACAGACACAGTTTGGGTTTTGCCCAAATTTTCAGTTGACAACCCCACCAGAAAAGTATAATTAAGTTGAAAAATATCTGAATGTTGACAAGCTGATCATTTGAATGTAGTAAAAATAGGTTTTTATTTTCTGGACTGAGAAAAATGTTTCTGATTTTCACATGGGTACTAACAAGTAATTTTGTGATTTCTGTTTCTCAGCTGAGAAGAAAATTTATGTCATGGACTTCTGATATTTACAAGAGTTACAGTTTCATTTTTCATTGTAGAAAGACAGGGGAAAGGGCATAAGCCATCAGGCACAGCCCTGGAAATAAACGCGTGTGGGGAAGAGGAGACACAGAGCAAAACAAGGCATTTTCAACCAAATGTTTCAGTGCAGCAGGTCTTAACCAGGCATGAAAGGACAATTCTTTTTTCTTGAGCCCAGTTCTGGGCCTGAAATCAGAAAAGATGCACTGTCTCCCTTACAGAGAAGATCTGTCTTCTAGTCCGTGTTATCTGAAAGTATATCCCTGCAGGTTCTGATTCTCTTTTGTTATTGTTTCTAGGTGGCTAGGCCAGGGCCTGAAAGGTGATCAGCAACTGCCTCCTTTAATAGAGACTCTCCAAGGACAGGCGGATTTGGAGGACAGCAGCCAGGGCTCTGAAGTCCTGCCCAAGTGGAGAGTCTCTCTCCTCGGACAGCCTGAGCCTGGGGTGTCCTTGTGCTAAGGCAGCGGCAGCATTCCTCAGCTGCTCCCTGGGTACAGGAGCGGAGGGGACACTGCACAGAGTTCTCATCCCTCCAGGGCCCCAGAGTAATTCCACTTGAGATGTGAGGCCTCTGGCAATTCACACCCGATGTTCCGCAGCTCCGAGAGCCAGCGTCAGCCCCAGGAGCTCATTCCAGGCATGGTAGATTTGTCACCTGTAGGGCAGCCTCTGTTCTAAGAAAGAAACCAGGGAGGAATTTTCTACTTTCTTCATTTTCCAGACAGCCATGGATTAATCAACCATCAAACCAACCAAATCAACCCAACCAAATATGTGCTGGAAGAAAGTTTATAAATACACAGTGGAGTCAAGAGCTGAGGAAAGGTTGACTGGGACACAGCAGGAAGCTGTCAGAGTTGCTGAGGGGTCCCCACAGGAGCAAGAGGCACCCCGGCCATGGCCCCCCACTCCCCAGTACCCACATTGGTCGGACAGCTCCTCACGACATCACGGGGTCTGACAAGCACTTTCTCACGTGTATCTTCACCTCAGTTGGTCTTCTGGGAAAAGGCCATATCCTCCAGACCCTTTATTTGATGTGACTCAGTCTCCCCTCAGGTCTTTCTCACGGACAGACTCAGTGTTTGAGGGGAGTGACTAAGGGAAGCAGGATTTGTGACTAACTCAGTCACTGTAGGAAGGTCAACTGGAAAGTCACCAAGGGTCCCAGCACCTGTCTTTCCCCTTCTCTGTCATCCCCACCTCCAGGTCAGCCCCCACCCCGTCAAGTTATCCCATCAGCTCTGGGTCCACCTCCAAGGACTGGAACCAAGACCCCAGGACATGAGGCCCAGCTGGTGAGACAGGAGAGAATTAATGGCAGCCTTCAGCTTTCACATAAACTGCCTCTTTGTCCATTCGCCATTGAACACCTAAACCTTCTTTCTTATGCAAATTTGGCCAGGGACGGACAAACTGTGGTGACCCTTGCCAGCCCTCCCACAGCCACAAACCAGCCTGCTGTCGTCCCGATTGCCCAAGCCCCACGGGTGCCACACCATGGGCCACACTTTCTGACATCTGAACCTCCCTCCATAAAACCCTGTGTCCCACTCCCAAGGGGCCCAAATGCTCTCTCCGCCCCAAGCTCAGCGAGTGTTCATGAGTGTTCGGGAGCTAGTAGGTTAGCGAGGGCCTTCTGGAGAGACATCCTTCCCTAAAGAAGTAGCTCTCATCAAACAAACAGACAAACGCAAGCTCTCGCACAAGTCCGTCACCGCAAGCTTCAGGGGTGCACAGCCCGCAGGAGCCATTGCATGTTGCAGACCTGTCAGTGTGTGATGTGTCCTTCGCTGGCCTCCCACCTGCCTGCTGTGCAGTTGGAGGGCACGCGCTTCTGCAGCTGGACCGCAGAGGGTGGATACCTTTGGGGTGGCATGTGGTATCTCACTTTTTTCCAAAACCTGGTCTTCATGCACTGTGACTGCTCTGTGAAGTCCCCGCTCCACTGGATGGCCCCGTGCTTCTGTCTGATGTACTGGATTGACTCTGGCATGGCTGTATAGTCCTCAATTTTCCCCAGTTCAATCAGAATGACTTTCATCCCGTCCTGGATGAGGGCGTTGTAGACTGCGATTTGTTCTTCTGGCATGTTCTTCAATAGGCCAAAGCTCAGCCATGCGGGGACTATGATGACGATCAGCCTCCTGCACAGCTTAGTGTTTTCATCGATGACATTGGCCACAGCTAGAAATAAAGAAAACAGATTCAGAAGATCTCATGATTAACACAGCCCGGGTCACAATGCTACTGAGAATATTAGAAATGGCACTGAGAAGAAAAAATGGACTTTAAAATGAACAGGACTTAGGAATGGATTAACAAAAGTGTGGGGGAATTTTTTGTTTGTTTGTTTAATTTATCACCTCCTCTGTGAAGCCTTTCTGGTTTTCCCTAAAGAATCAGTTCTTTATGGTCATGAATCGCTTTTTTTTTTTTTTTTTGGTAGTTTGTTGGTATGTCACTTTCCTCAGCAAACAAGTATCTTATTGTGCCTAACTTTGTATTTCCAGACTAGCTGTAGGTCAGGTATATAGTAGATAATCAACATGTTTTTTTAAAAAATAAGTAGATTTTAAAAGGCTAGGGAAAAATGTAATTAACTCTGATGTTGTGTTAATCTTGTATTTGTGTTTTCCTCTTGTTCTTTATACCTATTTAAATGACCAGGATGGGCCAGCCCGTGGCTCACTTGGGAGAGTGCGGTGCTGATAACACCAAGGCCACGGGTTCGGATCCCATATAGGGATGGCCGGTTGGCTCACTGGGAGAGTGTGGTGCTGACAACACCAAGCCAAGGGTTAAGATCCCCATACCGGTCATCTTTAAAAAAATAAAATAAAATAATAAAATAAAATAAAATAATAAATAAATAAATAAAATAAATAAATAAATAAATAAATAAATAACCGACCAGGATCTATGCAACTAACTTGGAACCCAAATAGCACAACCTACTGATTACTTGGGAAGGGAGAGGTGGGTTTTTTAAACACCCATCGCTGCTAACACTCTGGCCTGCAATTGCCTCCCATAGAATATAAGAATAGACTGCAAACTCTAAGGACAGATTCTTCTTCTTTGGCTTATTTTTGTATCTCTAGTACCTAGAACAGTAGCCAGCACATAGAGCACTCAATAAATATTTGTTGAAGAAGTGAGTGAGTAACATTTCCCAGTGACTAAAAAAGGATGTTTATTTCAGATTTCAGCCGTTTTACTGTACTTTTACATTTTACGGGGAGAGAACAGAGGACAGGAGGGAACTTCTGTGTTGGGCGTCCAATGTGTGCTGAGCTCCATACTGTCCCTTCTCAGATTTCCTCATCCACGTCGCTCAGCTGAGTCAGGGAAGTTTTCTTATTCCCATTTTACAGATGAGACAACTGAGATTCAGAGATGTCCATTGACTTGCCCAAAGCTATATACTTCTATTAAATGGGAGAAGTAAATTTAAAAATCTCCCATTTTATGTAGGTGGGGAAGGAGCGAGTGAGGTTGAGGTTTATAAAATCACCTTTAAACATGACCTGATTTAAATATTCAAACTGATAGAGAACACTCTGCAGTTAGTCTCAGTGACATGAGGGCAAATGACCACTTGTCTCTTTTCGGTCTTTTGGTCAAGACTACGTCACGGGCCACTGTTCATGTGGATGGATTAAGTACATCCTTACTCTAAAGTGAGACCCACACGACTGGCCCCAGGAATGCCAGTCACAGCGGTGCAGGAATGAGCTGCGTGGAGAAGGGAGCCTGCAGGCTCTGGTCACAGCCTCCCTGAGGTTCCACAGGGAAGGCGAGCAGAGTTGCTGCTATTCGTAGAGTGAAGGAAGAGAGAGGTTCTTTTTTATTATTATTGTTTTTATACCTCACTTAAAACACACCTTGTCCGGGGAACTCATCCCTGCCAAATATGAATAACTTATATCCGCACTGCTGCTCCAGCACCTCGGGCAGGATCTTCAACACCAGCGTGTCCACGTCGTGACTCTGGCTTTCACTTTGAGGCTTCGGGTACAAGACGTATGCATCATACAGCTTCCCGTCTGAAAAGGAAGTGGGACAAGCTCAAGGAATCATTCCCACCAAATTCTCTCACGTGAGCAAGGTGAGAAGCCGAGGTGCTGCCATGATGTGCTTTTGGCTTGGGTTCAGTGACTTCAGGGTGTCCTGCTGGCTGGTGCCAGGCACTGCCATGCTATGACATCTCACTCTCACAAATCATCCTGCAAGGTTTCCTCCCCACTACACAAGAATGGAGGTGAGACTGGGAAGGTTGCACCACTTCCACCATTCCTAATTCCATCCCAAGTCTCGATTCTAAGCCCACTTCTCCCTGTGATGTGGTTGATAATGAGAATTAAGAGCAGCAGACTCCACCCATGTTACCCTTGGTGGGGCCTGTGCACAGAGTTCTGCCCTAACCGTACCAGGCAAAACAGGCTTAATCCCTCCTAATTTAGACCCACCAGTGAATTCCATCACTGCAATTGTGCAGACTTGTGTCATAAAGAGAACGAGCATCTGAGCAGACCCTAGGGATCTGCCATGCCATTCTGAGAAGTCAAGCATGACAGCACGTCACCACTGTCACAATGAGCAGTATTTACTGAGCAAGCACTAAAAACAGTCTCTGTGCTCGCCAGTGCAAGGATGCACAAGACCCGGGATCTAACTGGGCAGACGTTCACATGCACAGAGCAAAAACAGCATAAGGCAGCACAAGACTGCAACGGCTAAGTGAACAGCAGAGACAGGAAGAAAGGGAACTCCCTACTGTCTGGAGTTCCGGAAAAAACTTCAAAACAGCATGGTCCAGGGATTTTAAAGGGTGAGGAGGGTTTAGAAGAAAGTGCGGGTCTGAGAGTGGAGGGTGAGCAGGCACAAAGAGGGCCTTCCCAGGAGTTCTGTGAACGAGACACTTCAGCAGGGCGAGAGGGCTTGCATGGGAGGACAGGGACTGTGGGCGTCACATTGGAAAATGTGATTTCAAGGTCCGGGCCGCTTGGAAAGTCACAGCCAACCTAATGGGGAACCCGAGAGGGGAGCTTTCTTTTCTATCCCTTTTCATGGGAGTTTGTTTGATGAATGGGCTTGGAGATGGGGTGCTTCTAAGATTAACAAGAGAAGGCAAAATCTTGCTTTCCTCTAGTTGTCTAAGTGACAATAGTTAACACATATACTGAACTTTACAGTTTACATGTTGCCTTTTCTCATTCCATCAGTTCTCACACCAACCTCTGCCAGCCTTCAGGTCTCTGCTCTTGGCCTTCCTGTGAAGAATGATAATGCACAAACATATGCACGCACATGCATGCACACCTGTGCACACACATGCATACACATGCGGTCGCGTGCACACATGTGCCCCCACGTGCACAGTCCTACACACGCAGTCCTGCGTACGCGTGCATGTGTACATGGGACTGCACACACACACGCACACATATGCACTCTTTCTCTGCCTTCCCACCCTCTGTGATGACAGGAAGCCATGTGAGAGTGGGGACTTGGGCTCCCTGCTCTGCTCTCAGCCCCTGGAGCAGGAGCTGGCGCAGGAGCCGTCTCAGTCAGCCCTTGCCAAATGTCTGCATGAAGCTTGATTTTACAGAGGCCCAAAGAGGTTATCACGATGCTGGGGACTGGTCAATTTCAGCTTTTCAATAAAGTGGAATCACAGGGCAGGTACTAAAGGAACGATTAAATCTGTGTCTAGAGTTGGCAAAAACCCAACACAACGAAAACTCCTTGTGGAATCTTGCAGGTCACTGGTCTGGACCACCACTCAACAAGTGGATATTTTTCTGTATTAAATTTAAAGTCAGACATTTGACTTTCCAAAGCCATAGGATTATAGAATAGAAAAAAATTTTTTTAAAAGAAACATTTGGTAAAGTTCTTATGTTTCTGAACTGTTAGGGAATCAAACTGTTCCGTGTAAACGTTTGGTCGTATTTCTCCTTTTGCTTCTGATAAGGGTCTGCTCGTGCTGGTGCTCCGTTCACCGCAGAGAGCAGCCTCCCCAGCAAAGCGGTACTTCCCGGCCTCGAAACTACAGTGAACATCCAGGTTCATCGCCACCTCTGTCCCAGGCCCTGCCACTGGTAACTCTTTTCTCTCAATCTGATTCTCTTTTTTCCCCATCACCTCGGACTATGAAGCAAACACACCACTTTTGACAAGTTATTCTCTCTTTTGCTAGTGTCCCCTGTTCCCTGTCTGTGAGCAGGGTGTCTAGGACGCAGGCACTTGTGGACATCCAAACTCGGGAACAGAAGAGATCTGGGTAGCGAGAAAGCCTCGCACCTTTCAAAAACTCAAAATATAAAAACATCCCGAATTTTGGGGTCATCTTTTTTTCACGCTTTCTTTCTGACTAAGCATTTGAATAGAGATACGACTTGCTGACTGGTTCTCAAATGCAGAGGTTTCCATCACCTTCACATGGCCAGTGCATCATTTCCTGAAATGCAGCAAAAGAGCAGCAGGAGCTTTTGCCTTTTGCAGGCCAACAGCAGCCGGCACTTCCCGGCTTTGCCTGTCACGATCACTTGTGAGGAACACGGCTGCATCCCTGGAGTGTGATAAGGTACCCGAGGCCAGCGAGGCTGCAGGAGCTCTCTGAAGTCTCCCAGCTGGTAAATGCACAGACTTGATCTCAGCCCAGGGCCAGGGTCCCTCTGGTGTGGCTAACATAGGAATTAGGAGCAGGAACGTCTCAGAGCTTGTCCCTCATGGGTCCTGTGCAACTGCGTCAGACTGTATTTTCCAAAAACAGCTCCAGCAGTGTTTCCAGTCCCACAGTTCTTTCAGAACCTTGCCACACCCCCACAAAGAGGCGGGATCTATTTCTTCTCCCTAAAATTGGGTAGGCCTCTGCAGATGCCCCGACAAATAGAATGTGGTGGAGTTGATCTAGAAATTCAGATGTTAGGTTTTAAAAAAAACCATGGCTTTTGCCTGGTTCTCTTGCTCTTGAAACACATGTTCTTGGAAGCCAGCCACTGTGCTGCAAGGAAGCCTGAAGCAGGCCACACAGAGAGGTCGCTTCAAGAGGCCCCTGTGGGGAGGGGCTGAGGCCACCAATGACAGCCACAATCAACTGCCGCTCCTCCCGCTGAGACCCCAGACATCCCGGAGCTGAGACAGGCCGTCCCCGCTGTGCCTGTCCACACTCCTGGCCCACAGACTCCATTAGCAGTGGTTGTTTCGTGCCACCGAGTTTTGAGGTAATATCCTTCCCAGCTGTAGCAACTAGAACAGTAACTGAGGAGATAACAATGAACAGCAACAAGTAACAATGGGCTGGACACCTCCCAACTGTCTTTCACCAAGAAGATTCCAGAAACGCAGACCTACTAGCGAGCATTCTGAGGAAACTGGGCCCTGCGGCAGACACTTGCACGGCGCGTCTCTGTAACGCTGAGGTGACAGCTACCCAGGTCCTGGCCGAGTCCCTTCATTTTCTCAGGAGATGCAACCAACCCTGCCTTCAGTGTTTAAGCATGTGCATATGCCTTTGCTGGCTGTTGGCTTAAGATACAAAAGCTCATTTGAATAAATTAGTATTTATGAAAGACTACCTAAAGATTATTCAATTTCCTGCTTTCTCTCAATATGATATTGTTAAATTTTAGACCCGTCCAAACCAGACTGGTGGGAAAATCAGACAGATTCAATTTGGCCTTCCTGTAAATGTTTTACTGAATTGCGTAAGGTTTGGCTTTTAGCCTCAACATGCATAAGAGACACTAGAAGAAAAGCCACATTAAACATGTTATTACATTTGCCACGGGAATGTTGAGGCAGACAAGGTTTCTTACATCATCCTGTTTTAAAAGAACTCCCTACAAAAAATCTCCCTTGAAACTAGTCCCGGAAAAGCCATGTTCTTTCATGAGCAACTGAAAGGTTTCTGTGAACAGCACACAATGGATCTTGTAATCGCCTTTCTTTTAGCTTTGAGAGCAAATTCACCTCTAAAAACCATCCAAGATTTGTCGTTAACTCCACCCTGATTTATTTCACCATTTTACCTTTTTTCCCCTTTGTTCACTGTACCTATTTTGTTTTTATTTTATTTTAACACTCACTTGTACATATTTACGGGGTACAGTATGTTGCTTCAACTGTTCTGTTTTTAATCTGTCTGTTCTACAGGTGCATTCTCCATAAGCCTATTTGGAATAAGGTGAGGCACATGCAGATCTCTCCAGTGCATTTTTAAGCTGAGCTTTCCATTCTTGTACACACCTGCACACCTGGCAGGAGAATCATAAAAGTGCTTGGATTTGACTGAGTATATACAGAATCTGCCGACTTCAGCCAGGCCTGTCAATGACTCTGACTACAACTGTGTCACACATACCTAACTATTTATTAGTGGTGTTATCAAGCTTAATCCAGCTGGTGGTGTAAATGACTTATCATAAAAGGGACATAATCGCTCCCCCTCATTTGTATCTGCTGTCTATTGCTCGGTGTGCTCCCAGATAAGTCAGGAAACATCCTCAGGGAAACAAAGCTGTAAACAGGATCCGAGACTTATCTGGGAGTCGCATCACCAGCTCATTGTCAAAGCCAACACTCAAAGGGAAGGGATGTGATTACAGGGTAATTCTCATAGAATGAGCTGTAGAGAATTAAATCACAAAGTGCACACATTTCTGAATTTAAACAAAGAGGACCACTGGCTGCCTGTCAGCTCCTATCTCCAAATGCTCAGCCCTGGGTTCAGAATTCGAGCTGCAGCCCAGTCTCAGCAGAGGGTGGGGCTCCCTGAGCGGCTCATGTGCCCAGTTCCTCCTGCTCAGGGTGAGTCACTATTCCTTTTTTCTCTTCCTGCTGGGCTGACCACGCACTCTGCACATCACGGCTGCAGTCACACTCTCAGGAGAGGTGTGAGTCAGACAGGGAGACACGCCATGGGGCCAGAACACCACGCAAAGTGACACAGCCCTCCAATAGTCAAAAAACAGAAAGCAGCAGAACCACTCACACGTGTGTCAGGAAAAAGAAGTGGGGGTAGACTGAACTGTCTTCTCAAACGGATGCAGGCAGGAGGACAGTCATGGGTGGGCTCAGACAGGGCAGCCTCTGCAGTGACCACAGCCAAAAATTGAAAGCCCCTCGTCCAGTCTGGCCATCTGCAGTGCTCGCAGCACTTCAGGTTGTGCTGGACAGGCAAGGCTCGATTGAATTATGCCATCAAAAAGGAGTCTGGTGCTCTCTACCTGGCTCAAGGCTTGCTAATTTTGAATTCTGAACTTAAACTTAGAATCAAGTCTGAGTTAGGACATCTGTGTTTTATCAAACATGTGGACAACTTGTGCTGTGTATTTAGTGTGCAAATCAGGCACTCAGTGTAAATGGTGCTCTGCTGTGCATCAGCTACTCATAAAACTCGCCCGAACACCCACTTCCCCCACTTTTCCACTCCTCTTATCACTGCATGTCTCTGGACTTGAAAGGTATAAATTTGTGCATCTCCATGCTTATCAGCTGCACAGATTTCTTTTGACCTTATATTAATTTTTCTATCCAAATAGCACAAAGATTTACAACCACAATGGTGGAAAATGCCTGTCCCTCAGAGTGTCAAAGTCACAGAGAAGATTTCTGTATTAAATAGCGCTGGCAGGACAGACACCACAGACTAAAACCCCAGAGTAGAGTGGTGGTGGTGGTGCAGGGGAGCAGCTTGCTTTGACCTCCAGGCAAGCAGCGGAGCCCCCGTGCCCCGGCCCCTGCTGAGTGCTTTCCTGCACAGAGCTCAGCTCAGTCACTCCCCAGCTCTCGGGGAGGGGGGATTCGCTTGATTTCTTCTTCCGTTCTTCCTTTTTCTTTCCTTCTCTCTTTCCTTTTCTTTTGTTCCTTCCTCCCTCTGTGTCTCCCTTCATCCCTCCTTCCCTCCCTCCCTTCCTTTCTCCCTGCCTTTATTCCTGTCTTCTTTTCTATAACTGTGAAATAGAAGAAAATTAAATATCTTTCTAAGTTCATAGAGGGAGAAGCAGAAAACTCACACTCAGACTTAGGTTCATCTCTCTCTCTACCAAGGACAGGGCCTAGAGATCTGCACCCACAGGGTGCCACAGGGCGCATCACTCCCCATAACACAAAGTGCCGCTGTGCTGAGCACACATCGTGATGCAGAGACCTGGCTCTACGAGGAATTTTCCTCTTTTGCAAACACTGATGGATGTGAGGGCCTTTCTAACATGGTTGCAGTGGGACTCTGAGGATGACCTGCTCCTGCTACTTGTCACTAGGACCTGTAAGCCTTAGTTGATGGAAGGACACTGATGAGCACAGACAGATCTTTTCTCTGAAGCATAAGCAGTTCCAGGGCATACCTTCCTCTAAATTTGCAACAACATGAAAGGCAAGCTAGTAAAATACGACAAAGCATGTTAAAGTGGTTATATGGGTGAGCGGGTAACAAATTTGAGACGTTTTTTAGTGATTACACACACTTACCTTCTATGGTCCCAGCAGAACGGAAGGCACTGCGGTACCAAAGAACAATGTCGATCTTGAAAATGTTGTAGACGCACAGAGCAGACGCAGCCACAAGTGCCAAGGCGCCAAGCCCTCCGACCAGGTAAGCTCGAAAATCTGGAGCTACAAATGACAGCAAAATAATAAGAATACAGAGTCAAGTACATCCTCCACTAATACAGATCACATTCTAAATGCCAGATGGAAATATATAAATGTCAATAAGGGCACTGCTTAAATATTTCTTTAAAGTTAAGTAATAGGCTTGGGAGTAGAGTAACCTGATCTGGACTGTGAATTTTAGGACAGAGACGGGCTCTTGGGAACCCAGGAGAGGAAAATTCCTCAGAGCGCTGGATACTGATACCTGGTCCCAGCTGCATGAGGACCGCTCTCCAAACACACATGTCCGGGTTCTGCTACCTGCAAGCCTTATGTGACAACACTAGACTGTCCAGGGACCCAGCCCAAATAAGCTTATTTGGAGGTTCCCCAGGTGGTTCTGTTGCATGTTGGCGATTACAGTACTGTTCCGACTGCTTCCCGGTCACTCAACACTGAGCAGCAAGGCTCCCATCACAAATAAAGGGCCATCAGCTGTCTCCCCTGGAAGCCACTGCTGCTGGCTCCACAAGACCGGCCAAGGGCCAGAGCGTCGCCCAACCCTCCTGGTGACAGAGGAGTCTGAGAGACACGGCCTGGCCTCTGGCAGGGCATGTGCACCCCGCTGTGCCCGGGGATCATGGTGCCCGGCGACAATGAGCACGAGTGGTGGGTAGAGCCCAAGGAGCAGAACCCGTTCCTCTGGCACTGCAAGTCCGCAAAACACGCTTCTACGTGTCCAAGAAGAGGAACGGCCCAGCCTCCTGCCTGCCACAGCCCAGACCCTGCCGCCGACGCAGGAGCCTCCAGGGCAGAGAGAGCTGGAAAAGAGGAAGGAGGAGGGAGGAAGAGAGAAACCTCGGTCCTCGGAGCCCACCTCGCACACCGCTTCCTCCATCGGCCCTGCCTGAGCCTCCCTCCTCACCAGAGGTGGGCAAGGAGGGGAAGGACAGGGGTCCTTTCTTCTCACCCCCAGAACACTTTTATTTTTAAAATGCTCATTAAGAGCTTATCACAACCGGCCCTAAGCCACACCATGTTGTAGACATCTCGAGGCCCAAGACTTCCTATTTGTTATTGTGTGTCTCTAAATACTTCACACAACAAAGCCAACAACTGAAATCGCATTTGGTATCCCCCCCAACTAAGCCCCACTGCAGCCAGGTGAACTGCTCTCTACGTGGGTGCCTGATCGAATCCTGACCACTTTTTAGAACTTCTGGCTCCTAACCATGAGAGAGACCCCCCACCCCCTTGCTCTTTCCCAGCTTGTGATTCCTTCTTGGAGCAGCAATGCCACTTCTTCCTCTGGGAGGATCCAGGTCAGGCAAGTTTTAGTGTATATTTTAGAGACCTTGGTAGTGAAAACTATCATGATAGGAAGATCATGCCCACAACATTTATGGGATTCTAAAAGCCCCTGGCAATAGACAGGAGAGATGGTCTGAAATTTCTGGGTTGATCGTTCCTTGCATTCAGGAGTGTTGATATCTTCTGCTCTGTAAATGAGTTTAAAGATGATTAAATCAAAATCAGGACATCGATGAATAAGTTCAAAGGGAATAGAGGCTTTGAAATAGAAATAAATGGAAAATTCACTGTTGATATACATACCAGATGCCCTGCTATATATATAAAGGAGGTATTTACCGGCTGAGTCCATATGGCTACCCCCAGCCTCCAACTGAGACAGTAGGTGAGAACGAGTAATCAAAAGAAATTCACAGAGGGGTACATCTGATCTAAACAACTTTCTAGTGATCCGTTTCAGACAAACCAAATAAGATTCAAATCTGGATGTGTCTTCAACAAAAATAAGGAAGTCAAATGGAGAAGCTGGAACCATAACTCTGCCCCCAAGAAAACCAACAAAAGGCTTGAGTTTAGAGGATGATGTTCCTGAGAACTCAGAGAAAATAAAACAAAGCGCACGGGACCAAACACACTGCATGTGAGATTGGAAGTGACTGTCCTTAGGAACAGAGATGAATTTAGTAAGCACAGCTTCTTAATCAGCCTGAAACAAAGCGAACAAAGGACCCTTCCCTCCTTGCATGTGATTGACAGATATTAGCTGGTGACAGCATAGTGCCTCGGAGCCAGGACGTGGTCTCAGAATCCTTCTGAACACAGATACCAGTAAGTCTCTACTGGCATGGAAATCTGCATTGGCCAGCTTCAGTCTAGGTTAACAAACAAAGAGCTCCAACTTCTAGGTTGAGGCAGATTTCAGTTGTAACCACGTCAGGTCTTGTGGAATCTCCAAGGCTTTACACAATCAGCTTCCCCTCCTTTCCCTGGGGTGGACCCAGAATCACTCCCTCCGGGCTGAGCCAGGTTGCATTTCTGATGGAAGCTACTGCGGAGCGAGAGGGGAGGAGAGGCCAGCAGATCCTGCCCTGCTCCCTGGGTGAAAAATGATCCTGTCCTCACCGGCCTACCACACACTGCTGCAAAGGCCTCAAAGTCACTTCCTTCACCAAAACACGGGGCCCACAGAGACTCACCTTTGTCTCTGCTCCAATCCTCTGGTCTGCAGGGAAAATGAGAGACGACTAAGAAATGAGTGGGATCAGGTAGACCAGGGAGACCCGGAAAACCAAGCCAGGGCTTCCAGTTCATCCCAGGGGTAAGGAGGTGTCACTAATGTCCAGGCAGGGGGGGCAGGGAAATAGGTGGCAGGGTAATAGCCACCCTGGGAGAAGATGACTCTACAATGGTCACCAGAATATATTGGACCAGAAAAAATCCTCAAGGCAAAGAAACCACTAAGAAAATTGATATAATCCTCCAAATGGCACCTAATAATGGGCAGAACCAGGATAATACTAATAAAAATAAGCACTTTTTAAAGAATTCACGAAATGTCAGGCTGTGTGCTTGGTTTATAAAAGTATCTCATCTGAGTCTCATACACTGCTAGCCCTAGCAGTAAATATTGGTAAATCACACTGGAGAACAGTATGGCATTATTTAGAAAAGCTAATGACAGGCTCTCATCTGGAAATTCTACTCTGAATGATGTATCACAGAGGGACGCACATACTTGGATACCAGGACACTCATACAGAAATTTTCCTAGCAGCATTATTTGTTAAAAGTCCCAAACTGGGAACAATGCCAATGACCACATATTTATAGTAGAATGGATACATCGTGACCTAGTCATTCTCGGCCTACCACACACTGCTGCAAAGGCCTCAAAGTCACTTCCTTCATCAAAACACGGGGCCCACAGAGACTCACCTTTGTCTCTGCTCCAATCCTCTGGTCTGCAGGGAAAATGAGAGAGACGACTAAGAAATGAGTGGGATCAGGTAGACCAGGGAGACCCGGAAAGCCAAGCCAGGGCTTCCAGTTCATCCCAGGGGTAAGGAGGTGTCACTAATGTCCAGGCAGGGGTGGCAGGGTAATAGCCACCCTGGGAGAAGATGACTCTACAATGGTCACCAGAATATATTGGACCAGAAAAAATCCTCAAGGCAAAGAAACCACTAAGAAAATTGATATAATCCTCCAAATGGCACCTAATAATGGGCAGAACCAGGATAATACTAATAAAAATAAGCACTTTTTAAAGAATTCACGAAATGTCAGGCTGTGTGCTTGGTTTATAAAAGTATCTCATCTGAGTCTCATACACTGCTAGCCCTAGCAGTAAATATTGGTAAATCACACTGGAGAACAGTATGGCATTATTTAGAAAAGCTAATGACAGGCTCTCATCTGGAAATTCTACTCCGAATGATGTATCACAGAGGGACGCACATACTTGGATACCAGGACACACATACAGAAATTTTCCTAGCAGCATTATTTGTTAAAAGTCCCAAACTGGGAACAATGCCAATGACCACATATTTATAGTAGAATGGATACATCGTGACCTAGTCATTCAACGGAACAGGACTCAGCAATGAGATGAACAGACTACAGGTACCTGCAGCATCATCGATGTGCCAGTGAACCCCACACACCTGAGCTAAGAAGCAGACATAAAAGGAAACATCCTGTATAAGCTCTTAACATAACGCTCAAAACCAGGCCAAACTAAACTCTTGTTAGGGATATCAATGCAGATGGAAAAGCAAAGAAATGACTTTTTATTAGTTGTTATGTGATCCATATATTCTGTGTGTCCTTTACTATATGTATGTTATATTCCACAATAAAAAAAAAAAGAAAATCCCAGTTGTTTCTCAGAACAACGCTTGAAGGAAGGTACTGTTATGATCCTTATTTACAGACGAGGAAACGCAGGCACAGAGAGGCTGCATTAAAAGTCCTGAGTTCACACAGCTCACGCATGGCAAAGCCAGGATCTGATCCTAAAAACCCGGACCCTAAAGGCCTGGGTTGGAACCACTCTGCCACCTCACTTGCTAGGGGGAGCGGGCAGGCGGGGACGGCTGCAGCAGGCAGGCCCTGCGTAGGAAGGCTCTGCAGACCTCGGCAACTGTAACTGGGTGAAGGCATGAGGGAAGCAGAAGAGGGCATCGGAGCGACCCCAGATTCTGAGCCTGGATAATGTGGAAGATATGGAGGTATCAGGAACAAAGGTGAGAAAAAAACAGGAAGAGAACCCAGAGGTTTGAGAGGATAATATGCTTCCAATCTTTAGCCCAACGTGCCCGCAGTCCAGTACACAGCTGGGAATGCAGGCGGCCACATGGGAAGAGAGAACAGAGCTGGAGATCTGGAATTTGCACCTGCACAGGGTTGACAGTGATACCATAAAAGGAAGGGAGATTAGTGGGAATGAGGATGCAGAAAGAAAACAGCACCGATGCTGGGACTTCAAGAATCACCCTGAGGTGCCAGAGAGAAAGATGGGACACATGCAGTTGATTGGGGGGAAAGTGATGGAAAGTGACTCTCCATGACAAGGAGAAGCCAGGGAGAAGAGGAAAAATGGACAGTGGTGGCAGATGAGCCCAAGGCTCCTTCCACATGACGCAACCCAAGAGGATTCCCCACGGGTCCGGGGTGAGGAGAGGAGGGGCTGTGCTCACTCACAGTCGGGGCAGCTGGAGACAGAGTGACCTTGGCCCCCTGATCACAGAAGCGAGGTGAGAACGTGCACACCTGGAACTGCTAGCTGCCATGGACATCTCCTTAATCGCCCCTGTTCTAAGGGAGGCGATGAACACTTATGTGGTTAGGAGCTGAGCATGAGCAAAAACACATGTGCTGGCTCCTGTGGCAACCACTATATTTTGTATTAAGTTCTAGAAAAACATTTCTGCTGGGACTTTAGCTAGATGCATGCGAACATGGGTTTAACTGATCTTTAAGGGACACTAGCAAATTCAGGCCCTCTCTCGCACATAGCTAGCCACACACACAAAAATGATATTAATAGAATCAAGAAAAAAAACCGTCTTGGTCAACCACATGGCATTTTACAAGGTAGTTCATACACTTCCCCTGGAATGTTATGAATTTAAAGTTGTTCTCAAGATTCTGATTTTACCCTTAACTGTCTATCCTCCAGCTTTATTACCTCTAATGGATAAGCTCTGAACAGGGTTAGGAGTGTAGTCTGTACACACAGTGAGTTTGAAGCTCTCCTGCTCAAATGTTGGAATTCAGCCTCATTGACAATTTTACAAAGCTACATGGTAAAAGTCTACATAAGCATCTATTTATACATCCAGCTATTTATAATAAACCATCTAAAAGGTGAAAACCACAAGCAAATGGCTATATAAGTTGAGCAATCATATTTAATAGCTTCTTAGAGTTTTGATGTTTAAAATTTCCATATACATTAATATGGCACCTTAAAAGTACACTGCAATAAAATCATAGCCTTACTCTAAGAACATTATCAGACACCAGCTCTTCTCCAGATTTCATATTTAGTGTCTCTATTCAATACCACCCTGCTGCCTCACAAGGAGCATTTAATGTCATTTCTTTCCTGTGTTTCCTGGCCATCGTTTTGAACACACTGTATCCCACTGGAACCTCACCTGGGAGTTCTAACATGATGTACGCTGCGGACACTCCAGCACGGCATGTGAAAGGAAGGCCATAATCCTCCATTCTTACTTCTAAGAAGGTTATGTTTACTGTGCACATAGTGTGTTCCTGAAAAGCAGCACAGCTTCTATAAAAGAGAAGAGCTGATCATTAACCCATGAGTATTCACCCACATAAAATATTTACCCAAAACATTTCATAATCCTTTTTCTGGAGATCAAGTGTTTTCCTGGAGTACATTTTGGGCCATCATTTTATCCTACGAGTACTTCACTGAGTAGCCCTTTGACGTGTGTAGATTGTGGATGACCGATTCCTGATTGGACCTCGTCATTAGTGAAGGTTGAAATTTGCACTTTCTAGGCCGGCCCGGTGGCGCACTGGATAAGTGCGCCGCTTGGGAAGCGCGGCGGCGCTC